TTGGGGGAGCCTCACCCCTACCAGGTCAAAGAACAACACACCCCAAATTGCACCACAATCAGAGGCCAAGTCAACTGGTACTGAGATACCCTCACTCTCCTCAGGCTTTAGCAACTCCCTGCTTACTGCTCAGAAGGAATGACTCCCTAATGTTCCTGCCAGGCCCTGCAAAATCCAGCTACTGACTACCTTTCCAACTTAATTTCCTACTCCCACCTCATTATGCTCGAGCCACCCCGCTTCCTTCTGTCCCACTTCCTGCCCCCTCCATCCTTGTCTCTCATGCCCCATCCCTGCCTCAGGATGCTGCAGGGCCTCCTGGGAAGGCTCCTCAGCAGTCACCACAGCAGCTAGGATGCAGCTGGTCTTGATTTGACTCTGCACAACAGTGAGCAGTCTAGCAAGATTCTGTACACCACAGTGTAATGGTTCTCAAAGTGCAGCCTGGAGACCTTTTCAAGGGACTCATGAGGTCAAAGCCATTTTCATAAAAATGCTAAGATATTATCTGCCTTTTTAACTATTTTCATATTTGCAGTAATGGTGCAAAACCAATGGTGGGTAATACCACTAGCTTGGTACCACTCAGCACAAATCAGGACAGTGGGAGCAAGCTGTAGAAAGTCACCATATTCTTCACTACCATGTACCAACATTAAAAAAAAAAAAGAAGAAGCCATTTTCACTTAACAGTGTTCTTGAGGAAGCAGTAAAATTATTACTTTTATTAAATCTTGACCCTTGAGTATGTCCTTTTAGTATTCTGCATGACAAAACATGATATATGCACGGAGCATCCTGCTGCGTACTGAAGTGTGATGGTTGTCTCCAAACGAGGCAATTGGTTGCGAAGTGATCTGAAATAGCCACTTTAATCATGGAACACCATTTTTCCTTTCAAGACTGACCAACAAACGATCATTATTTCAAATGTGGGTATTTGGCAGACATTTTCTTGAAAATGAAAGAAATGAGACTGTCACTCCAAGTAAAACTGCTAGCACTTTTCCAACAATTAAATTCAAACTTTCAAGAGGAAATTAGGTTGGAAAACTTGCATCATTCAAGGTGAACTTAACAGCTTCCCAGTATCTAGATTTTTCTGAGACTGGTGATGATATTAAATGTGACTTTTAAAAGTATTTACATATTGAAATGTATCAAAATGTAGAAGGATCTACAAAACAGTGGACCAATATTTTCCAAATAACCAATGTATGATGTAACAAAATCAGGCATGGGCAGAAGACCCATTCAAAGTGCAAAACAACCCAAGAGAGTCCAATGTAACAAGGCAGAAACTTCTCCATATGACTTCATATTGCACACTACAACTAACCTTTAAGAAACTACCACCTGTGAAGTTTCGGTGGGTATCAAAGAATATCCACAATTATCTGAGAAAGCTATTAAATACACCCCCCCTTTCCCAACTATGTAGCTGTGCAGGCTGGACTCCCTTCAAACACCCTATCAAAACCCCAGTTGCTTTTTTTTGTGTTTTTTTTTTGTAGAAACTGATGGAAATGCAAGGGACTCAGAAGAGCCAAAACAATCTTGAAAAAGAATAAAGTTAGAAGACTCACTCATCCCTATTTTGAAACTTACCACAAAACTACAGTCATCAAGACAGTGTGATACTGACATATGGACATACATATAGATCATAGGAATAGAGTCCAGAAATAAATTTTCCCTCACATTTCTGGTCACTCAGTTTTTGACAAGGATGTCAAGACAATTCATAGAGGGAAGAATAGTCTTAAAAAAAGGGGGGGCTGAAAAAAAGGGGGGGGTTGGGACAACTTGATGCCCACATGTAAAAGAATGAAGTTGTACCTCTATTTCCTATCATATGCAAAAATTAACTCTGAATATATCATAAACTTAAATGTAAGAGCTAAAATATAAAACACTGAGGAGAAAACGCAGTATTAAGTCCACACGGCCCTGGATAAAGCTTCAAAGGAAGCAAAAAGTTTCCACCCACAGAATGAAAATTATTTGCAAATCATGTATGATACCACTGTTCCCATAAAGATGGCTAGAATAAAAAAGACAGACAATAACAAGTGTTGGTGACTGGTGAGGATGTGGAGAAACTGAAAGCAATGTCAATTGTTGATGGGAATATAAAAATGGCACAGCTACTCTGGAAAACAATTTGGCAGTTCCTCAAAATGTTAAACATAAAGTTACTCTATGTCCCAGCAATTCCACTCCCAGAAATATACCCAAGATAAATGAAAACATACACTTCATACAATTAACACAAAAATTTGTACAGGAATGTTCATAACAGCATTATTCATAATAGTCAAAATGTAGAAACAACTTACATGTTCATCAGTTGACGAATGTAGAAATAAAATGGGTTATATCCAAACAATGGAATATTATTTGGTAATAAAAAGGTAAATTCATAGAAACAGAAAGTAGATTAGTGGATGCCAGGGGCTGAGGGGAAGGGAAGATAAGGAGTGACTGCTAATGGGCACAGTTTCTTTCTGGAGTGATGAGGGTAAGTATGGATGAGTATATTCTACATGGACATTTAGTAACATTCAGCACTGAAAGTGATAACCACAAATGCAAACTCTGGTTATTCTCTTGTACAGAACAATGAATGATTAAAAAAAAAGTTAACACCAGCGAGGCTCAGTGGTTGAGTGTTGACGTATGAAATCATGTTGGATTCCCGGTCAGGGCAACCTACCCAGATTGTGGGCTCGATCCCCAGTAGGGGGCATGAAGGAGGCAGCCGATCAATGTATTTTCTCATCATTGATGTTTCTATCTCTTTCTCCCTCTTTGAAATCAATAATATATATAAAAAGTATAGCCCTAGCTGGTTTGACTCAGTGGACAGAGCGTCGGGCCTGCGGACCGAAGGGTCCTAGGTTCAATTCCAGTCAAGGGCACATACCCTGGTTGCAGGCTCTGGTCACGTGCAGGAAGCAACCAATCGACGTGTTTCTCTCACATTGATATTTCTTTCCCTCTCTAAAATCAATGGAAAAATATCCTCGGGTGAGGATTAAAAAAAAAATTATAAAAAGAACTTCAAGCTTCAACACAAGGTGACCGCAGCAGGACTACCACCCACCCCCCCAACCCCCTACACAACCTCAAAATGTTATTAAGCACTTGAACATACAATTTCACATACTAACAGATTTTATACATGTTTTACCTTAAAATATTTCAGTGAAATGTGTCCAAAAAGGATAATTTAAAAATAGACAGTAAACGAGAACACAATTGGCTTGTATTCTATTTGGAACAAATTTGATGCTATCTTTTCTTGTGAAGTATACAAATCAAAGGAAGCATCTTCCCTACTACCTAAAACATTTGAGAAGGTCATATTTGGAGTTACTTTTTGCTAAATTGCCTTTTATAAAACAGAGTGGTTTCATTTTCTCTCATGATTGTTCACATTCCTGTGATCCCCTCTCTCGTTAACCTCAGAGGCTTACATATGGGAAACAAACTTTTGGATTACTAGTATGCTCTGATGGTAAACTAGATTATCAAAGCCTCTCTAGAAAATTCCAGTGAAAGATGCACCAGATTTTATTTGAAGATAGTTACCTGACACTACAACTTTAACTTGATTAAGTTGAGCTACCTCCTACTATGGGACTACTTGTTTGTATCAGAAACAATGGGTGTAAGGGAGCTGGGACACTTGTCCACCACTCAACAATTAATACAAAGCACTCCCTGAAAGCCAGCCTGCGTTATAGGTGACGTGGCCTTAACCGCTTAACACTGTAAACAACAGGAAAAGTACTTCAGGGAAAAATGAGTCGTATAAATTATTTGAGAATTGTCTTTTCCTTACTGATAGTTTCATCAGTGTTTAAAAAATGGTAACATTTAGTAGTTTTATCTGAAGGCAAAATTTTAAAATAAAGTCTGTGGCATGGTTAAAACTCACTAATCAAAATGGCATAAGATATTTAATCAAGAGAACATTCTGAGAAAAGTATGGTTTCTAGTCGTGCCTTTTTCTACCACTCTACCCCATCAAAATGACACAACAGCTTAACAATACAAAATAACACAATCTAGAAACACAATACTCCAATTTCTCTAGTACAGCACCATCTGCAAGCAGACATGCCAGTAAACTCCTGGAGTCTGAAGACTGAATCATTCTCCCAAGAGTGGCCAGTACATGGAATCAGGGAATTAATTACTTCCTTTTTGATGCTGGCAAAACAAAACAGAAGACCCCACAAACCCCAAAGTGTCCTGGTTCATAACAAAGGTCAACAACTCAAAAATCAAATACAAAGCCTGGGAGTAATTTAACCTTTACTTCAGTCGTCACTACCCCTGAAAGTAAACGGAAGAGGTAATTATATTGAGGGCACAGGGAATAGGGAATAGGGACTAGAACTGAATCTGTGCCCCCTGGGAGGCTACTTAGAAGAGCACTGAACAAACAGCAGTCACACTAAGTGTCTGTGAAGCGACCTGTCACCTCTGGGTGTTTAGGAGGGGGATGACTAGAAGGAAGACAAAACAGAGGGATTTCAATGGAACATAAGCAACTTTTTTAGCAAAAGTGATAGAACAGTAGCCTTGCTTACTGAAGCCCAGAATCATCTCAAGAATCTCAAGGGGTAAGTAAGTGCGGATCGTTGGGGCATCTTTTGAGTTGAAATCAGGTAGCCCGGGTACATGTCACGTGTCACCCGATTATTCGGAGAAGGCTAGCTTCCATTAGGTGGGCCCGGTTCATGTGTTTAGACAGAGCTCACGCAAGAGCCAGGCTATGTCACAGGCCCACTCTTCAAACGCAGAGGAGGAAACAGCGCAGATAAGCGAGGGCTGGGCGGTTCGGGCTGCCAATAAAGGCTGCACGCCGGTGCCATATGGGCGCTCGGGGCGTGGGCTGTTGGCCACCCCACAGGCCTCGCTTGGACGCATGGCCCTTCATGGCGGCAGCTGTCAGGGCTGTCACCTCCGCTTCCCCCACATATGCTTACGACGTGATGCCGCGCCGCCCGAGAGGTGCCGGATGACTCTCGGAGCCTCCTGACCCCTCGCCCAGCACCGAGGAAGCGACGACAAAAGGGTGAGCAAGCGGCTGGAGCCCATCTTGGTCAAAGAGCACAGACCCTGGCACGGGCGGTGGAAAAGGGGGGGGGGGGAGCGGAACAGAAAGCGGAGTCGGGGAGTCCTTCCCGGGAGCCGCAGGCAGCTACAGGCTCTCCGAGGGCAGCGCGGCCCCCTCCCCTGCAACCACCGGCGACCCAAACCCTCGCTCTCACCTCCTTCCTCCCACTACGGTCAAGCGCGCATCTTCCTGTCTCAGACAGTTCCTTCCTAAAACAACACGAAGAGATCCAATTCCCCAGGCTGCTGGTTGTCCGAGACAATAAATAAGGCCTCGCCCCGAAACACGGCGAAGTTCCACGGTTCTGCTTTCTCACTCTTTTTTTTTGGGCCCCCTGTCCACCCCGCACCCCAACACAGATCACCCCGGCTCGGCAAAGCGGCGACTGTCAGGAAGTTTCAAATCCATGTCAACCCCTTGGGGGGAACAACAACAACAAACTTTTGAATGACTTCAACAGCGTGGTCACAGCGCCTGACCTTATTTTCTCGGGAGAAAATAGGACACCGAGACCAGGAACTGACCGCCCCGCCGCCCTCCCACTCGGCGGGCAGCACACGGGGCTGGCGACGACGGCTGCCTCTGCGCTTCTTCGGCAGGAAACGCGCCCTCAGCAGCCACACGGCCCGGCTTTCTTTAGAATGTGAACTTCCACACCGACAGAGAAGCCCGAGGCGCCGCTTCCTTTGTTAAAACCCCACGGACTTGCTTCACTTCGGGGCGGAAAGGCTGCTGGCGGCGATCACGACCGCGCGCCGCGAAGAGGCGGGGAGACAGGT